CTGGGATCCTAAAGCTCAGGATCACCCAGCAGGCTGCAATCAAAGAGTAGCTAGGGCTGCAGTCATTTGAAAGCTTAAGTAGACTAGAGGATCTGCTTCTAAGCTGTCCTGGGGAAAACTTTCCTTCTTCACTACGGGGACCTCTCCATAGGGCTGATCATGGCAGCTTCTTTCTCTCAGAATGGGTGATGAGGCAGAGGGCCCAGGAGAGGGCGAGGGGGTGAGGGAGGGACAGGAGGAAGACAGACAGGCAGAGAAGGGAAAGTGAGAAGGAGAAGAAGAGACAGGAAGGGGAGAGGGAGGGGGAGAAACAGTGAGGGAAGAAGGCGGGGGGAGAGGAAGGCAAGGAGAGAAGCAAGTGATTGAGAGGGGGCATAAATATGTTTACGACCTTGTTGAGCTCCTGGCTCCAATGCCCAAGTTTATAGAAACATAAATCCTCGTTTGCCTAAGTTACTTTGATGTCTATGATTTGCAAAGGAATCTTGACAAATATAGCAAGTATGTAAATCATATTGGAATTTTAATTGTGGAAGGCATGTACTTCTTTATTAAGGTTAAGAAGTCCTTCCATCACCTCTGCTTTCTTGGTGAGCATAAGGTCAGAAACTCACTCAGGTGGCTTCAAGGGTAAGAACACTTAACCTCACAGCTAGATTATCGAGGGCTTCTATGGGAGAGTTCCCTGATGTGTACTCAAATACACATGCTTATCTAGGAAAAGGGTCTGGAAATGTTTTCGTATTAATAACATGAGTGGTAACCAAAGGAGGTTAGAATTCACTCTTGAATAATAATGTGTAATGTTAAAGCTTGAATCTTCACATCTCCCTGTGTGCCAGGTACCTAGATTTTTTAGAGAATTTGAGACTACAAAGAGGCAACACCAACATTTTATTAACATCATAAAATGACTTGTTTAAATATAAAGACATTAAATGTTTGAAATAATTATTTTAAAAATTTCACTTCATTGCCAGCCATCTGCTGTCACCTCTGATTGAAGGGTGGGAAAGGCATATAGACTAATAAATGACTAATGATGTGTATTCCAAAAAAGTTCAAACATTTCTCCAGTACCATGTATACAAATAAAAGATTGTAGTTTGCTTGTCCTATTAGTAAAAAATAATGAATCTCAGCAGTATCAATACATTTCATATGCCACTGATTAAACTTGAATATTCATGCATGCATTAAAGAACCTTTTGTTGCTATGGTAGAACCTAATATTATGAAATGTGTTCCAGCCCTCCTTTAGGGGGAAGAATATAATTGAAAATTAAATCAAAGTTGTTGCTTTTCAATGAGAACAATCAAAGGGAGAGAGGGAAGATTGCTCTGTAAATAGCAGGAGAGGCCAGATTAGATTCCCAATGAAATGTTAATGTTTTATTGGCCTGTAGCCAATAAAACAATAAAGACTACTATTCAAGCAGGAATAAGTGTCTTTAGATCCTGGGCATCCTCTGTATGTACAAATCTCATTGTTTGGGTAATGACAAAAGAATTCCAGGATGACAGAGGCAGACTTGAGAGAAATGAAACAGGATTGCCAATCAAGGAGCCCATCTGGACTCTCTGGCTTTGGACTCTAGGAAAGTGCTTCCCTAGGTAGGTAAAAAGAATGCAAAGTGACTTTGCCTTCATGGCGTGCTTGGTTAAGAATAAGATACTTTCTAGCCCTTTGAAGTAAAATCATTTTTCAATATTTATTTAAAATCAACTTGCTCTATGAACTCTAAAAATTTTCTGGAAGAAGTTTAAATTAGACTCATTGGCCTTTTTCTAAAGTAAGGAACCTAGAGCCAATAGTTTCCATGAATGCAAACCATTGTATAGTCTCAGTAGGCATGTCCAACCTGCAGCCTATCTTTCCTTTCTCCCTCCCTTCCTTCTTTTCTTTTTAAAAAATATTGTAGTAAAAATATTTTATAGGAAAGTTTTGTTACATACATACACACATATACAAATATATTTACACATATACATATATTTATATATATGCAAATATATTTACATATATACATTATATATTTACATATATTCCTTTTATATGTGGCCCAAGACAATTCCTCTTGACTCAAAAAAGAAAAAAAAAAAAAAAGGCAAAAAAACACAGGCTGCAGTTTGGGCACGGCAGAAACTTTGGAGATTTTAAACATTCACAGTTATTCAAATGGAATACTGATTATAATGCTTAATTCTTAGAAGAACTAGTTGAATGCATTTCAGAATTTATTTATTTCATACCATTACAATGAATCAGTTTTTAGTTTTTAAACTTTCCCTTTAAAACTTCAAAATAACTGGGTGTGGTGGTGCATAGGTATAATTCCAGCACTCAGGAAGCTGAGGGAAGAGGATTGAAGTGAGTTCAAGGCCAGCCTGGGCTACATAGTGAGTTCAAGGGCAGCCTAAACTACATAGATAGACCCTGTCTAAAAAGAATAAAAATTGTTCAAAATACAGCTTAAACAAATTGTTGCAACATTGTTCTCATTCAACTTATAAAGTTTAATTTTTACTAAGTATATATAAGCAGTATTCCTTCACTTAAAGCCATAATATTGAAATTCAGTTAATAAATACCATCCTTTAAACTTAAGAGGTTATTTTAAGCCTGAAAATAATTAAATACATGTATTGAGGAAAACCTTCAGCTTGTCAGATTTATGTAATTAAAGGTTTTTCCCGTTCATTTAATACTTGTTATAACTACTAGCATCAATCTAGTGTCATGCTACATTTTTATCTTATTTTCATCAAGGACAAAGTACTCTATCTCTTACAACTTTATATAACCCTCAATATATAATTAATAGCATTTGAGAATATTAATTTTCAAGTTAATTCATGAGTTTTTAATACTCCCTTTATCTGTATTTATTTTAAACTAAAGGCTTTTATTTCCCACATATAAAATTATTGCCTACTGTTAACAGTGATAGTACCTCATGTAAAAGTATTGGTTCCTGGAAGGCAAGGAACAGATTTTTTTTTCTTAATCACTTAACTTCCAGTCATATTGTTAGGCAGATAAACATTAGCAGGCCTAAGGGACAAAGAGGGCAGGGTTAAATAGCATGCTTTGCCAGTTATATTAAGCAGAGAAACGAATTTTTTAATACCTAATTTAGATTTTCATGTATGATTAAGGCCCCTGAGGGAACACTGGCCACTTAAAAGAAACAAGGAAGACATCTTTGAGATATGAACATTCCAGATTAACCCCTAAGAGAAATGTCCACAAGCATCTTAGTCACCACAGTTGCCTGAACCCCAGGAGTAACTTTTGTGTGGGTAAAAAGTATCTAAACTCACACTCAGAGCAGATGTACTCCTGGCACTGCTTCCCTTCTTGCTTGAAGATAATAACTTTCTCTTTATCTACTTTACAATAAATTCTACCTATACTTCTGCATAGCCTATGTGTCTCGATGGAATTCTTTCATCAAGGGCACAAAGAACTGAGCGCCAAGGAAGTGAGGATCCAGTTCATTGCTATGTCAAGACCCTGGTTCCTGGTAATACTATGAATCCAGTTTTTATATTTTATCTGGTTGGTTAGTTGGTTGGTATTGGTTGGTTGGTTGGCTGGCTGACAACATGAGCATTTTTGAGCATTAGCCATGAGAAATGACCACTTAATGCTAGAATAATTTATAGTTGGGGTCTTATAAATCTTTTCTTTTGGAAATCTGTTACATTTTTGATGTGATGTCATCTATAATAAGAGGCCTAAAGGGCCTTTAATTATCCATGTTTTTACATTCCTTTGAGTAATGATTTAAAAAGAGATATGTATCTTTGAAAAGATAAAATAATAAGTTGATTTTAGGTTGATAGAATACATTGATTTTAAATAAATATTACAGTTTCCTAAAATCAACTCAGAAGAAACTCCAAAGTGATTAAAAGAATGATGATAACTATATGTACTGCATAAATTTATCTAAATTCCAGTGATGGTGTGACTCACTGATCATAAAGTATTCAAATTAATAATTAAAAATTTTAAATGTTTATGAGGAATAGTATAAGGAAACTAAAGAATATTATATATATATGTATAATCTGGTCTCTGTAAACTAGTAATTGAAAAAGTAGGCATATTTTAAAATGGACTTAATAGCTGCAATAAAGAATAAGTGCATTTGGGCAGGGGATTTAGCTTAGTGGTACCGCTGCCTGTTTTGCAAGTGCAGGGTCCCGAGTTCGATCCTCAGTACCAAAAAAAAAAAAAAAAAAAAGAATAAGTGCATTTTAATTAACCTCTCCCCACTCTCCATTAGATTCTCAAGTCTTTTCAAATAGTAAGTCATTAAAAATAAAATTAATAATAGTAAAAGTACATAAGCATGTACAGAATAAAAACCTCTGAAGAAACATTTGCTATAAAATGCTATTAATGCTAAACAACACTTCAAGACCAAGCCTCTCTCTGCCCAACCCAACCCAAGGCCGACTCCATTAGCCCTCCATCAAATACATGTGCGTCTCATAAAGTATAGTATTCTTTTTGAAGCGGAGAATGGTCAGATTGCCTGGGCTTGAAGTTTGATCGCCACCGATAGGATAAGAAATAATGTAAATAAAATACCCACAACAAAGTACTCACAAATAGCACTTTGGGCCATTCCATGTTTTTGCTATGGAGGACCACATATGTTTTTAACTGTACCTCCTACCAATGCCCAGCACATACAGTGTCTGGTGGACTTATAAATATTTATCGAATGAATGAGTGACAGGAAGAATGGCCCTACTGCACTCGGTAGCCAAACTCTGCAATACCCAGTTCCAGGGTAGACTACAATGCACCCAGAAAACAACTGGAAAACAACTGGTAAACAATTCTAACTGGCTCACCTTGTTAAACTACACTTCCCAACATGCAGTAATACACCATAGAGGCAATGCATTCTGGGAATAACGTCCCCGGCTGTCCATTGGCCGTGTAGGCGAAGCCGGGTAATCTGCGCATATACGCCCGCCTTGGCATACGTATGCACGGAGACAGCGCAGAATTCGCCTCTGAGTTCTGCGGAACTAATTTTTCTAGGTAGGTATGTTAGCCGGAGCATTTAAGAACACTTTCATTTCCGGCTCCACCGGAAGCAGTTTGAAAATGGCGTCTTCCTCGAAAAACGGGACGTCTGCAGCACCTGAGAGAAATGAATTTCGCAGCCAGAAACCGAAGCCAGAGAACCGAGGTGAGGTTGTGTGAGAACTTCAAGTTTCTGGATGTTGAATTGCGATATTTTTCTTTGCTTGGTTCTTGATATGTAAGTCGTAGGTAGTATGTTTCATGTAATTAAATGCCTGTAAATAATTGCTGATAATTGGGAGTAGGGATGGACTGTGCCCTTAATATGGCCAGTATGGTGTTGGCCCCGTGTTTTCAACTTACTGTTTTTGCCAAAACCCTCCAAAGGGTATCCGTTGTGGGATCTGTCTCCTGTAAAAGTGAAGAGGGCGCTGCAGGACCTTATGGCGGTCGGGAGGTGAAAGTTGTTGACCAAATGAGTAAGATCCAGTGGGGTTGATAATGGTGATGTATAGAGAGCTCTGATAAGGAAGGAGTGAGACAGTACTATCTGGAAGAAGGTAGCTGGCATGACCTTAGCTTAGTTTGTCAGTCAGAAACTTTGGAACGTTTATCATTACCGCCCCCTTTTTAGGTTACTGAAATATTAAACGACACATCTCTTAGGTTTTAGATTGCCCCATTTTCAAACCGCTCTCGTGTTGTAGTCTGTATCATCCACGTCCTTCAATATATATGACAAGAAGAGCTACTAGAAAAATACCCCCGGGGAGCTGCACAACCAATCTTGTAGGACGTGCTTAAAAGCTTGAACTCTCATTCTCGATGCATTGGGAAGTTATTAAAGGATTTTATTACTGCGTTTAAAAAATAATTATGTAACATACGTAGACTAACACTTGTTAGCCCTCAGACTATTAATTAGAATGTTACCATATCCCAAAAGCCTCCTTCCTATCTGTACATCTCAGGCCGTACCTAAAGTAACCATAGCTAATTGTGCTGACCATTGCGTTTCCATTCTTCATAATCTGTACCACCCGCTCAACAAATTTTGCTTCTTTTTGAATTCTGTGTGAATGAGAGAAGATTGTATGGATTCTTCTGTTTTTGCTTACACTTATGGTTTTTTTTGGTTATTTAAACTAGAGTGATACTTTTACATGAGGATTTTTTTTCATTGTTATATGAATGTACCTTCCTAAGTTTACTTCCTGTGAATATACCTCAATTTATATTTTCATTTGCCATTGGTGGACGTTTGGATCGTGCCAATTTACTTGCTTTTATAAGCAGTACTACTTTAAATATATTTGTATACGTCTTCTTGTTAACTCGTGGAAGGATTTCTCTTTGAACATAGGATTGAAGTCAAGGAAGAATAGGGTGTATATATAAGTACATAATGCTAACTCTGTTCCAAAGGGGTTTGCCAGTTTTGACTCCCCTTAGCAGTGGATGAGAGTTCTTATTGCTGTAAATCCACACCACTACTTACTACCTGAATTTTGAATTTCTGTCATTTTGGTAGGTATGAAATGGTATCTGCTGTAGTTTTAATTTGAACTTTACTAATTAGTGATTAAGTTTTCACATCATTTTATGTTTGGGGGCTATTTATATTTCTGCTATTGTGAAATTCCTTTGCCAGTTTTCTTTCTTTCTAGGTTAGTGGTGGGTGACTCTTTTTTTTTTTAATTGATTCATAGCCATTGAAATATTTAAATTGGGTAGGGATTTAGGCATTTTAAGTAATCGTTGTTGTAAATTTGAGATTTTTGTTTTTGCTGCTGAGAAGTGAATAACATAGAAGACTGTCCAATTTTTTGTTATTTGAACCACGAATGGCAAAGTGGATATGACTAAAAGAGAAAGCAAATTTACTTGACTGGCCAGTAACATGGCTAAAGACCAGCTTTTTAGACTTTATCAGGCTTCATAATCTCCTGCTGAGAATGTTAAAACACAAATTCCTGCCCTCATCTCACAGATCTGATTTAGAGTAGGTAGGGCCCAAGAGTATCATTTCTAACAAAATTTCACTTTATGCTGATGGTAGAAGTCTGTGGATCATATTTTTGAGAAGAAGTGAATTTAGAGTGCAGCTATTGAATTTAAGAAGTTCTTAAAATCCAGGACTAGGAGTTTTAATAAGTGATGGAGGAAATAATGTATGCCCTTAAGAGACATTTTCTTTTTTTTCCCATGTACTGGGGATCGAACTTAGGACCTTGCACTTGGAAGGCAAGCACAGTGTCACTGAGCTAAATCCCTGGCTCTAAGAAGCGTTTTCTTTTAGTAAAAGAAGTTCTAGACTCAGTCAGCTTTCTGTCCCCTTTGGCAAGTCACTTAACCTTTTTGAATTGAGTATTTTGTATAAAATGGGAATAATGGTATCCATTATTATTATTATGGTATCCATTCTTCCTTTTGCAGTTGCCATAAAAAGTGTATAAAAGTAGGGCACTGAAAGCTCTTTGTATCAGTGATTATTAACTGACACCATTAATTGACCCCTTAGAAGTTTTGCACATATGGGTACACACATGTAAATACATGCATGTGCACACCAGGTTCCACTCCAGGAAAGAAAAAAAGCTTACTAATATTTAAAATACAGTAGTAATATAAAAATGACATTTGCATCTTGAAATGTATCATAGTGTAGTGCAATAGAAGGTTCTTGAATACCCACATCTGTCAAGCATATGCCAACTAAAGTGGGTACAAGGAATAGTGCCTCTGCCTTTAAAGAACTTTATTTTATAAGGCAGCTGCAGTGTATCATGAAATTTTATGCAGTGTGACAGAGGCATGTTTTTTGATTTTTGAATGATGTAAATGGGAAATGGAAGGAGATTATTAAGAAATTTGTGAATGTATTCATAATGTTCAAAAAGTGTCTAAAAGACTGTTACAGTGATGTGTAAATGTTTTCCCCTTTGTAGATGAATCAGAACTCCTCACTGTTCCTGATGGTTGGAAGGAACCAGCTTTTTCTAAAGAGGACAATCCCAGAGGACTCTTGGAGGAGAGCAGTTTTGCAACTTTGTTCCCTAAATATAGAGAGGCCTACTTGAAAGAGTGTTGGCCTTTGGTGCAGAAGGCTTTGAATGAACATGTATGCATATTTTATACATTTCTTTGAGATGTTGCTTTTATTTATCCCTTTACCTTTAAGTGTATGTGTGCTGATTTTTTTTTTTTTTGGTACCAGGATGAAACACAGGACTGTGTGCTTGCAAGGCAGGCGCGGTGCTACTGAACTAAATCCTCGGCCCTATGTGTGCTGATTTTTTTTTTTTTATTAAATTCTTTTATTGGTACATTGTAGGTATACAACACAGTTACATTTCTCATTGGGAATTGTACCTTTACATGTGTGCTGATTTTTAAGGTGCCAGCATAGCTAGTTAATTTGGTTCCTTTAGTAATTTAAAAAGTCTACACCAGTGATGGTGAACCTTTTAGAGCTTTTAGTGATAACAAACAGCTGGCTACAGCTTGTGTGCCATAGGTTCACCACAACTGGTCTAGACCAACTTTATTCTTATATAGTTCGTTAGTATTATATATATAATAAATTACTTTAAAATGCACATACCTGTATTTCAGAGATTTCATGAAATGTCTAAAATTCACCTGTTAATAGTACCTATTCTAGGCTTGATAGTTGGCATTTCACCTGTCCAGTTGGAGCCGAGTCATGTTCCTTATTGCTTTCATGTTAAATGGAAGATGATTATGTAACCAACTTTTCCCTGTATGTTTTTGCTGCTGTAACTGTAAAGCAGTGGATTGTTTTTCTTTTTCTTTTTTTTTTTTTTTTTTTTTTTGGTACCGGGGATTGAACGTGAGTCCTTGTGCTTGTGAGGCAGGCGGCGGAACCACTGAGCTAAATCCCCAGCCCGTTTTTATTTTTCAAATTGAGAATTGAAAGACATTTGTGGGTTGAGAAGTCAATTTGGTGGCTATTACTGAGCCTTTAAAAAGAAGAATTTATCACATGTGGTAATGACAAGTATCATTTTGTGAAACCTGTGGATCAGTTTTGCATGTGTATATATTTATGTTTGTTAATATGTGTGTGTATGTGTATTAGGTTGTGATACATGTTTCTCACTGAGGTACTGCTGTGGAGTTGGTTGTACTCAATGGGGGATAAAGGTGGCTCAGCAAGTTGCAGAGTGTGTTTTACAGCTGTCTACATCTTGGATAGAACTCATTTTTTTTTCTTGTAAATTCACAGAGACCCAAGTATTCTTCATATTAAGCTCACAAGTCAGAAAATAGCATTTTTATTTGCTTTGTTGAAATTAAATTCTTCGAATTGAGACATAATGCTTAACTTTCCAAATGATTGCTTCTTTCTGAACCTATGATAATTTGTTTTTGCTTTCTATTAAGTCTTCTAAGTAGCTAGAAAAAAGTTTAAAAGGAAAAAGCCTTTCTCTTGGGAATAGATCTCAGATTGGACTTGAGCCCAGGGTAGGGAAGCTATACAGCTTTACATTTTTATTTTAGGTATATGTTAAGTATGACTTCATCCCGGTTAGTTACAGTAAGTTTAAAGTATTCTGAAGTCAAGTATGAGTAGTTTCAATTGTTTCCGTTTCATATGTTCTGTAAAGTGTATAAAAGTAATTAAATTTCATTATATTTATAAAGCATCTTCAGGGAGGGAGTTGGTAAAATTGGACAGATCGCTTAGTGGCGCAAAAATTAATAGTTTGATTGGGATAGGCTCAGTAATGATCTAAAATGGAGTTTGTTTGTAGACAGCTGCTTGTTTGGTCTTTCCTTCTTGTAGCACATTAATGCAACCCTGGACCTGATTGAGGGCAGCATGACTGTTTGTACTTCAAAGAAGACTTTTGATCCATACATCATCATCAGGGCCAGAGATCTGATAAAACTGTTAGCACGAAGTGTTTCATTGGAACAGGTAAGTCTAGAATTACATAGACTTTGCTTTATTTGCATCAATATTAGCAATCCAATACTTGTATCTTTTTCTCACTGTCTCTTTCCCTCTCTTCCTTCTAGAGTTCAGATTTTATTTTGTGCTTTAAATATGATTACCTAGGACTTAGGAAATAATTATAAACAATATTAATTTAAAAGAATATATTTTTATTTTTTCAAAAGGCAGTACGAATTCTTCAGGATGATGTTGCGTGTGACATCATTAAAATAGGTTCTCTAGTAAGAAATAAAGAAAGATTTGTAAAAAGAAGACAACGACTTATTGGTCCCAAAGGATCTACTCTGAAGGTACTAATTATCAGTGGAAAACTTGAGTTATCTTCCTCTACATGAATTTTTCAGTGTATTGAATTTCACCTTACTGTTCTTTTGATATAGGCATTGGAACTCTTAACAAACTGTTACATTATGGTTCAGGGAAACACAGTTTCAGCCATTGGACCTTTTAGTGGCTTAAAAGAGGTGAGAACTATTGCTTTCAGTTTTTACCAGAGAACAAATTAAATAATTTGGTTATAATAAATTGTTCCTTGGATAATATATTGTGATATAATTATTTTGTATTTTTAGCATATGCTTTGATACCCCATTAGTAAATATTTTCCATCATCTAATTTGAGGGAATCATTACACCTGGACCTAACATATTTTGGTGATTGTGGAATCATCCAGTTTTGAATTAGTTCTGTGAACATGGCTTCTCCAACTGTAAAATTTAGATGAGTACTTAAAATGTTAGTCTACAGCACACATGAAAAATAAGGTGTAGTTACATGTAATTGGAAAAGTGAGCAAACTCATTATTTGCAATAATGTATACAGCCAGTAGAGGTCAGAATCTGAAAACTAAGATACACTTTCTGTTGCAATTTTAGTATGTTTTAGTATGTTTAATGTTTTCATGAAGATTTTATTTAACTTGTCAAACATTATTAGAAAATCTGTGAAGCAAATACTGTCTCTTCACTCCTTTTGCTGTAATTTGGATATGGCTGTGCTGTTTTGCTCCCTCTGAAAGTTTTTAAAAGTAATTCTACTGGCCCTCTTTCTCATATATTGTCCTTTTGTCATGGGGCAATAGTAATTTAAACGCATTGAATACTTTATAGTTTTATAAAGTTTTTGAAATATTTAATTCTTGTAATAGGCTTTTGAGATGTATAGTTTTATCTCAATATTACAAATGAGAAAGCTGGAACAGGAAGAATGACTTTGCTATAAGAATCAGCAGTCCCAGGATTTGAGTCCTTATTTTCTAACTCTAGGTTTTGTTTTGAGACAAGGTCTCACTTTGTAGTCCAGGCTGGCCTTGAACTCACTATGTAGCTGTCTTAGTTAACTTCTGTCTGATTGCTGAGACAAAATACCTGATACCCAAAGTTAAAAGGGAATGGGTTTATTTAGCTCACAGTTTGTAGAGGTTTTGGTCCATGATTGGCTGACTCCAAGGAAGAGGGGCACACAGCAGAGGGGCGTCACAAAGGAGAAACAGTTCATGGTATCCACACAGTAGCAAAAGCAACAAGGGAGCTTAACAGTGTCTTTCTGCCCCTTTTTATCTTATTCACACTATTTAGGATGGGTAGCACTCAGGCCCATAATCCTAGTGCCCTTGGGCCTAGCCCAACCACGAATCATTCACACGCTATAGGTTCAGCCACCTCTGAAAAAGCATGAGGCTTTGAGAGGACATCTAAACACAAGACATAACAGTAGCCCAGGATGGTCTTGAACTCTTGATGATTCTCTTGCCTTGCCCTCCTAGGTTTGGAGATTACAGACATGTGCCACCATGCCTCACTATTTTCTGCCTCTGAATCCAGTCTTCTTTCCCCTGTATCAGAGAGCTCCAGGATATTGTATTAATTCTTTATATCATATTTTAGTGTTAACAGAGAAACTTTATTGTATCCAAGGGAGATTGATTACCACTGTGAAAGGTGTAGAAGCCACTCAGAACAATTGAAGAAATTATTGTATTTAATTTGGTGGATATTCATTGATTGATAGGCTATTTTGCAGTATAGTAGTTTTCTAGCCAATTCATTAAAGTTTTCAATAAGTAATGAATTCATTTTTCTTTGCAAATTTCAGGTTCGAAAAGTAGTTTTAGATACCATGAAGAATATTCATCCAATTTATAATATCAAAGTGAGTATTACCATACTAGTGATCGTCAAACTTCCTTTAGCTGCAGAATAGTTCTTGAAATTAAATCTTTTATGAAAGCCTAATACACAAGAAAGATAAAGCAGAGCTATTTGGGGTGAATTTGAGGTAAAATTCAACCCACTTCACTATACTGTAGTCCTCCTTTGGGGCGTAGGTCTCTAATATAAAAACTGTTGAAGAGGATCGTATAATGCATTTAATAGTTTGAATACAGTATAATGAAAATAAGCTTCATAGAATGTATTGTAGATTATATCAGTTCACTTTTCTTATTGAGCTTATGCATTATATTTAAAGATGTGACCTTTCAGAATTCTGCCTGTTTCTGTTAAATAGAATTTGTACTATATTGGATTGCTTTAAAGCTTTCTTTGAAATTTAACACTAAAACTGTCACTCCTCTGAGAGATGTACGTTATATTCCTTTGTGCATAAAATTGGTGATATTTGGAAATATAACCATGTTATGTTGAGCTCTTTTATGGTGGATATTTGTTGAACGGTCCACTTAAATTTGATGGTTAAAAAGTCATTTAGATTAGAGTAAAATTAATTTTTGAGTTACATTAGGATATCACAGATGAAAAGAAAGCTAGTTGTGCCTTTGATGGCTAATTGACATCCTCTTATGTCTTGTTATGTACAAAATCAAATAAAGTGGGGGCAATATAAATACTGATTTTTGTTTAATCATTAGAACATGGACTTCTCTTTCCTTGTAGCATCTTGGTTGCTACTGAAAACTTTCTGCTTATGGGGAATATCAGCTAATCCACACTTTTGGAATAATGTCTGAAAAGCTGAATTTGTTTTATTTTCATCTTATTTTAACAATTTTAGATTTCTTAATCTAAATTTCTAATAGTTTTCTGCTGCTTAGCAAATTGTGCCTGTTTGAGATGATATATCTTTATTGGTGCAGTTGGTTAATTCCACTGAAGAGAGTAGGAACTGTCACTTTTAAAATTATTTAAAAGTAATATTTATAACAAATATATGGATTTTGACATTTAAAAGTTTTACTTTATATGTGTATGACTAAAGACCTTAATGATTAAACGAGAGTTGGCAAAAGATTCTGAATTACGATCACAAAGTTGGGAAAGATTTTTGCCACAGTTCAAACACAAAAATGTGAATAAACGCAAAGAACCAAAGAAGAAAACTGTAAAGAAAGAGTATACACCATTCCCACCACCACAGCCAGAAAGTCAGGTTAGTATTAAATGTTAAACTTTATATGAAGGGGTAAATATTTTAATGTGTCTTGTCAGAAATTTTATGGAGGGTATTTTGGGTAGAGTGTATATGTGTACGTAGAGAAAAGAAAAGGAAGGTAAGTATGAATATGTGTATTTCGAGCTAAATGCATGGGGGTAGAGGATGGGGCCTTCACTTTGTGACTACAAACTACGTGAAGGTATTTAATGTCAGCCCTGTTGCTGTAGCTACTGTACATATTTTACAGACAAAAAATTTTCGGTGATTTAGCTCACAGTATTCTCTGCTTTAGTAACTTTTTTTTTTTTTTGACCATGTGCTGTATTTTAGAAACCATAAATTTGAAGCTTTTTTCTGTTATGAACTCTTATTTCTATTAACTGTCTTCTGGTTCAACCAACCAAAAGCTTTCCAACCAAAGCAGAATTTTCTTTTCTTGTCCATCTGTTTTTTGGTTTTTTTTCTCAGATAGGTTTTCAGTATTATCTGGCAGCTCTTTATGTGTTCTTAATTCTCTCAGCACCCTTCCACTTATAACAGCTGACATTGCATTTTACTTTTCTGAAATATTGAGACCATCAGTAAAGATCTCCTTCAACTTCTGTCTCTTGTAATTTTTTTCAATCTGCATCAGTCCTTTCCTACCTACTTGAATTCCATACACACCAATCTGGAACCTTGCTTCATGATTTCTACCTTTGTCTCTTTATATTTCCACTGTTTTTCTGCTCAAGATGTAATAAACCCTTTTCTGTGATCATCTTTTCTTCTGTTCAGCCTGGTGTTTGGAGTTTTTCAGGGAAGGTTTGATAAATGTGTGATGATCGTAGTGAAAAATAATGAAAGTGTTGGATCATTAAGGAAGAAAGATTGGAAGGAAAAGGATAGTTGTAGGAGAATATAGTGATCCCATTATTAAACCAAGCATCCACACCACTCACCATACTTCTTCTGGCCCTGTCCTGTAGTTACTAGCTTGTCTTTCTTCCCTATTCCTGCAAGCTACTTTTTCATGTTTTTAGCAGTACATATTCATTATGCATATTAATGGGGTTAATGTGCTCTGTCCATATGAGCATATAATATCCATTGATAAAATCCAGGCTACTTCTATCCACTACGGCCCCCCACTCTCTAGTAATACAGTGGTACCTTGTTTCACGATCTTAAGTTTTTTTATGAGAACCATTCTTGTCCTATTCAGTTTGTAACCAGAATCATGGAAAGAATTAAGTTTGTGAACTGAGGTACCACTGTAACTGTTCTACATGCAGGTCCATTTGATCTTCTATCTATGATAGCAGATGTGAGGTACTTAGTTCTCTGTGTCTGCTTTATGTCACTTAACATGATGTTCTCCAGTCCCGTCCATTTTGTTGCCAGTGATAGGATTTCATTCTTTATGGCTGAATAATACTCAGCTGCACATTAAGAAGACCGCATTTTCTTCATTCATCTGTTGATGGTGTCTAGCCTGCTTCTGTGTCTTGGTCTGAGTAGTGCTGCTACAAATACATGCATGTAGATAAGCTCTTTGGTATGATTTCATTTCTTTTGAATATATATAGAAGGATTGATGAATCATACAGTCTATCTAGAATTTTTTCCAGCAAGTTCCATACTATTTTCCATAGTGGCTGTTCTAATTTACATTGCCACCAATGGTGTATAAGAGTTTCTTTTTCTCCACATCTTTATTAGCATTTATATTTTGTTAATAGCTATATTTACTAGCTTGAGATGGTATATCATTTTAGTTTTGATTTTCATTTCCCTGAAGGCTAATAATGAGCATTTTTTTGGTATATTCATTGCCCATTTGTCTTGGCCATTTATCCTCTTTTGAGAAGTGTCTATTCAAATCCTTTGTCCAGTTTTAAAGTAGATTACTTGGTTTTTGTTAAGTGTTTTGATTTCCCTGTTTTTCTGGATATTAACCTTTATCTGATGAAGTATTGGCAAATATTTTCTCCCATGCTATAGTTCTTCTCTTCACTTTGTTAATTGTTTGCTATGAAGAAGATTTTTCACTTAGTTATACTCCTGTTTGTCAGTTTTGCTTTTGTTAACTCCTCTTTTGGGGTTCTATTTTGAAAATTATTTTCTGTGCCAATGTCTTCAAGTATTCTCTTTATGCTTTTTTCTGGCTGTTTCAGATTTAAGGTCTAAGATTTAGGTGTTTGATTCATCTTAAGTTGATTTTTGTACAGAGTGAGATATGGGGTCAAGTTTCAATCTTCTGGATGATTTATTGAAGAGGATTTCTTGTCTGCATGCACATTTTGGAGCTTTTGTCAAGAATCAGTTAGCTGTATATGCAAAGGTTCATATCTGTGATCTCTATTCTTTTCTAGGTGTCTGTGTATCTGTATTTAAGCCCATATTGTGTTGTTGTGGTTACTATGGCTCTGTAGTATGTTCTGAAGTCAGATATTGTGATGCCTCCAGTTTGTTCTTGCTCAAAGTTTTCTTCAAGTTTCCCCAAGTTAGCCTTCTAGTTTCTTTACACTTTCCCGAGACACTGACCTTCTGTCCTACCTGAACTTGTCTATTCTGTTTTCGATGAACACTTCCTTATCTTTCCTATCTCCATGTCTGCAGTTTCCTCTGCTTAAGGGTACAGTTTCTTCTGTGTTGCCATCTTTTATCAGAGTATTGACTCCACTGTTTTTCACCCTAAGGACATTGTGACTTTCTTAGGAAATTCCTTTCTGCATTATTTCTGATGTAATTATAAATACTGTTTTCAATAGGTTGACAAAGAATTGGCTAGTGGTGAATACTTTTTGAAGGCAAATCAGAAGAAGCGACAGAAAATGGAAGCAATAAAGGTAAGACTTTGTCTTCCTTACATCATTAACAGCGAAGTTCATAGCTACTTGAGTTCTTAATTATAAATTGTGTCTTGCTAATGTACTTCTTAATAATGTAGGCTAAACAAGCAGAAGCTCTCAGTAAGAGACAAGAGGAAAGAAATAAAGCATTTATTCCACCTAAAGAAAAGCCAGTTGCAAAACCTAAGGAAGGTAAAGCTCATTTTTTACCTCTTGATGTAAAAGTGTATTATCTATGAAAAGTAAAACCATAATTTATCTGAACATCTTGTGTTAACTAAAAAATAACTATCTTTCATCAATTATCGTAGGATTTCATTTATTATCTTAGGATTTCATTAATTAATTTCATTAATTCATGAGATGACTGAGGTAATTTAAAATTTAGTTGCAGCTGATGCTTATTTCACAGTGTCTCAGAATGGCAGTCCTTCCCAATCTGTGACTTGTGCTTGGGTAGACTTTGTTGGGAAATATATAAACGCAGAGCACTCTCTGTTGTTTTTAGTTTCTTTTTATTTGATCAGTGGCTTAAGATTTGTTTCTATGTTGTTAACAATGATTTCTCATTACTTTGCACTAAAGAACAAAATAATGACAGAATGTCTTTTGGGGATATTAAGAAGACACTAAGAAAAACTCAGGCCTACTCCATTTCTAGCCTCCTCCTTATTCTCTGACTTGCATTTTCCTTCCTTCTACTAACACTTGTATTCTTTGTATGAACATTTGCACTCCTCCTAAATTAACCGTCCATAGCCAACAGTAGCACACTGAGTGGGAGAGAGGTCACTACCAAAATTGTATATAGCTATTGGTCAAAATCAGATGTAACACATTACTATTTTTGTATCATGTTCTGGTTCACAGTTAATAGCTTTTAAAACAACACTGTGTCTTTGGAGATAGTTGTTTGTATAAGTTAAAAATGTCATAAACAATTTTCAGTTTGTACAGTTTGTCAGTTAAGTATACTTCAAATGTCTTGGTAGCTGGTTAATGTAGGTTTATAAAGATTAAGAATGTAGCCACTTTACATAGTGAAGGCTTTAAATCTCTGCATTTCAAGTGGCTAGGTTGTCTGTATGGTGATGTTTTATCTTCTGATTCTTTTATGCTGGAATACTGTAAATGGTAAGAAAAGTGGCATGTAAAATGGTAAGAGAAAGTTACATATTTTTCATTGTTTTCTTTTTCTATTCATGCTTTAGGCATTGAGTAGATGGTTTGGCTTTGTGAGGAAGACATCCAAATACTCTAAAATTATTGTCTATTTACTAAAATCTTGTTAAATACTAGTCATTAATAAGTTTTTATTGTGGTCTTAGGTGCAGTAGATTTTAATATGTAGCTTTATGATTAGCTCATTAAAATTACTGAAACTAGGAAAATCTTATATTTTTCATGAAATGTAATTTTGTTATTTTAGTGTGCAAGATCAAAAATTGGCACACCAATCTATATTCTAAAGTTCTAAAATATGGAAGACACTATAAGTTAAAAATTATCTAATCTCAAGTAACATTGAAGAAAATATAACTGATATTAATTACTAAACTGTGCCAAGACATTTTCATGTTTTCACTAATGTGTATGTGAACTATTTTGCTTTATGATTTGTTTTCTTTTAGTTTGAAGAAATTTCTAATTTTCCTTAGGCAGGTGTTTTGTATTTTATAACACAGCCTTTCACTGATTAAAATAGTACTCTGAAATTCTCTATTAAACACTAGTTTTTCATATGGGGTCTGGCTGTGTGCCCCAGGCTGGCTCTGCACATGTGACTGTCCTGGCTCAGCCTCCCTGCTAGCTGGGATTATAGACATGTGCCCAGCTAAACACATATTCTTTATGTTTTGCTTCCCAATGAATTGTTTATGTTTTTAACTTTTTTAGCTTCTACTGAAACTAAAATTGATGTGGCTACCATCAAGGAAAAGGTTAAGAAAGCAAAGAATAAGAAACTTGGAGCCCTTACAGCTGAAGAAGTTAAGCTTAAACTGGAAGCAGATGAAAAGCAAAAGAAGAAAAAAAAGTAACATTAAAATACCAGACCTTGAACTGTTAATTTATGAATCTACCTCCTTTTGTAAAGGATTTTGAGAAACAGGGCATTAGTTGTCCTATAATATTCTGATCACTTTTTTCTGAGTTTCAGTTGTTTTGTTCATAAAATAGTACTTTTTTATAAATATAAATTATTCTATTTTTCATGTGTGTTCTGAGAAACTTTGTGCTACAAAATAGTATACATGTCGTGTGTATTGTATAACCAGTTCCAGGCAAGTTTTTTTACTGACACATGATTTTAGGAATAACTTTTTACTTTTTAATTTTAGGATGTGCATGTGACTATTGTAATTATGCATTAAATCCAAAGAATGTCTGAGCTGTTGGTTAGTCTTTATGCTACCCCAGCATTTGATTTTAAGAAAAATAAATGCAAAATTTTCAGTGCTTTCTCTCTCCTTCTCTAAAGATAGGTGAATATTTTAGCTTATCCCTTCTTACCATTTTGTCTTTCATTACAAGATTACACAGCTCATAAGAAAATCAAGGCCTTTGAAATCTCTTTGTTACAATTTTATTCTTAGTCTAGGTAAAAGTGGTCCGTAGTAATATATCAAATTGCAAGAGAGCTGGAAAAATGAGGTACCTGAGAATTGAAACTAAACTAATGAATGTCTCTGGAATGAGAATCACCTGTATCAGTGATGGCGAACCTTTTAAGAGCGTTCAGTGATAAACAGCCTGCTGTAGCACATGTGTCATAGGTTTTCCACCACTGACCTGTATCTGTATCTAGCTTGCTTTCTAGATTGGGAAGGTAAAACACAGAAACTAGGTCACTTACTGAAAATCCAGCTGTGGCAACCTAAAAACAATGCTTGTTCATAGAAAAGTAAAGATGAGTTTCTCCTGTAGAGTTAGGAAGTTGAACAATTTTTCTTTTGAGTAAGGCTTTACTGCAGCAACATATTTTATTCTGACTTTTTAAAAAGAAATTAGAAATATAACCAGATGTTAGTTTTTTTTAAAAGCCCACATATTAACTCTTAATTGCCTACTAATTCATTTTTAGAATGCCCATAACAACAGAATATAATGAAATGTTTTCCAGTTCTTGTTCCTTGAACTTTTGTTAGCAGCATGAATTTCATGCAAAAATTAAATTTCAGTTTCGGCATAAATGGGTTAATAAGTTCCCTCTCCAGTGCATTATTCCAAAAGAACTAAATTAGGGTATTTATGCTTTACCCAAAGGGTAATTATAATAGACAGTAGTATAATTGGTGGATTAACAATAAGAAAGAGAGATGTGTATCTATTACGTGAATATATGGGCCAGCTCGGATACACAGTAGAGTAGTAACCTGTGAAATAAACATAGAATATCCTCTTAGACATTGTTTCTCGTAATGTGGTGGCATAATTCAATAGCACTTAATGAAGCAATGTAAGATTTATATACATACGTGTGACTTTGTCTCGCTATGGATTAACTGTAAAATTGGGGAGAATAAAAATTTTAGATATTAGTCCAGATTTTCATTATATTTTTAAAAACCAAGTTTTTGTAATTAGTGTTTTTGAGACAAGGTCTCGCTATGTAGTTCAGGCTGATCTTGAACATACAGTATTCCTCCTGCCTCATTCCCAGTCCTATAATCATTCATTTGATTTGGCTTTATTGCAGTGGTTTTCAAAGGTTAATTTAAAATTTTTTGTAAGGTTAATTTAAAATTTTTTGTACTATTTTGTATTTTTAAAAATATATTTTACATTAACTTTATATATAAACTTAATGCAAAGGAAATTATACCACTACTATAATGAAAAATAATTTTACGTGTATAATTTGCAGATAATACATTTAACATTAAATTCACAATTAAATTCCTATTTAAAAATACAAATATTAGAAGTAATCACTGTGAACAGTTAAAATATTTTCCTGAAAATGATTCCCAAGAATGTATTTATGGTGAGTCAGTGGTAAAGAATAGCTTTTGTCTTCATTCCAATGTGTCAGTTATCAGTGCCTCTCACTGAGGTTTTAGATTTGGACATTCAAAACATTTGAAAGAAATAAATTCCACAATTGCCATTAGTCTTTGCTTTCTTTTATTACACTGACAGTGTAATATCAGTTGGTATCTATATCAGTTGGTATTCGATGCTTATAATAGAACCCATCAGGCAGCTGGCTCTCTGAGCACTTGTGAGCATTTCTGAATTAACATAAAGTTCCTGTCCTAACTCTTCTTGGCAGTTATATCCCCAAATTCAAAGGTGTTCAGTATTCTATAGAAACAAATGTACATCTGTGCACCAGCTAAAATCTCATGTACCACTGGTATGCCCAGCATAGTTTATAAGTCTGATGTTTATTGAACTACAAACAGTATTTAAAACACCATGAAGGAAGTTTTTATTCTAGTGCTTGCCATAATTAGAGATGGAGATTTGTTAAAGAAAAGCTTTTATCTTCTTTACCTTATCAGACTTCATAATAAAAGAATGGGTGGTTATTAAGTTGCTTTAATCATAAATCCTATCATTTATTCAGTATTAGTGCAAAAAGTGGAATGCTTTCAAATAAGCCAAAATTTATATGAAAGTAAATTTCATAAATCAAATTTTTTGAATAGAAAATAAATGACAGGATCAGTCTGAAAGTTAAGTCATATAAAGTAAATGAGTGATTAATTTCACATTTTATAAATACCAAATTGTCACGTGCTTTTGTTTTGAGCTGAGGCGTTCTCATCATTGACACTAGAGTTTTAATCTTGCGAGTTTACCCCAGAAGTTCAGAGTTCATCTCATACTACAGCTTCAAAGATTAAAAGCTAAAACCCCAGGAATAGTTTTTTCTTACTGTATTAGTGGTACTAATTACCTAGATTTTCAAAGGGAAAGTGGTTATTTCACCATTTCTCTGAGATGGTACTTTCATGGACATTTTATTGTACAGAGGTTGCTAAAGGTCACAGTGGTAGAACTGGACACTGAAGTAGGAAGTTGGTATAATTGTTCTAATAGCTATAGTTTTTTGTTTTTTTGTTTTGGTACTGGGGATCGAACTCGGGACCTTGCATAATAGCTATAGTTTTAACTTCTATGTTATAGTCCTAATTTAGGAAGGAAAAATTACCAGAATATATGCGTGCAAATATATATATATATATATATATATATATATATATATTGTTTTGTAGCATTAAACCAACATAAAAGACATAATGATACTTGGAGAAGAAATTATAGTGTGGTTATTTGTTAGAATTGTCTCATTTATATGAGTAAAATAAACTGGTTAGAAAGAAAAATGATTGGCTCAGATAGGCAGTCTAAAAAGTGCTGCTATTCCTGGAGTAATGCTAAAAATTCTTTTTACAAATGGAAGAAGTGAGCAGCAGTTTAATAGAATGAGAGTTTTAGGCCTGGAAGGGATCTTTTCTACCACACAAGATTTTGTACAGGGAAGCTCAGCTTACTGTCCCTTGTCTGTTTTAAGCATCTCAGCCCTGCTGCTCTGAGGAGTCCAGTTTGTTACAGATGTGAACAGAAAAGTCCCACAGGATTTGCATAACTAGAGTAACTTGAGGTTTCCCCTCATATCATGGAAAAATAGTGGCTATCTTAAGATATTCAAAAGAGTATCTCATTTCTCTTAAACATGATAATTTCTAGAATGGTAAGCTGTTGGTTTGATTGCTCCTTGATGCTATTTTCCTTGGAACTTGCTGTTAGGATAAAACACATAGTTGTACTCTTAGTTCTATGCAAAGTTATAGTAGTTTCTATCACATTGTCCATTGTAGACTTCTACTTACCACAGAGATTGTCCAAACACGTGTCATTAGTGGAGCAGGCACTGCATGTGGCTCCTCTTTTATATGGCCAAGTTGGGTAATTTCCTCTGTAAAGCAGAAGACTCCATTAGTAGAGATGTATTTGTTTTTGCAGTTGCAGTTGTTTTGCAGTTGCAGTGTCCCATGAATTCTTGACCATATTCAGAAGAACAATAAGGTGGAAGTGCAGAGTATTAGAGAGTTGGTAAAATATGTAACAAGAGAAACAAAATAGGAGGTTGCTAATAGTCCTATTTTATATGCTTATGTCTATTAATCTTTCTTAATCTACATCCTCTCATTTACTTATGACAGCTCTGGTCTAAAAGGTTAATAACTTGCCAAACATGACAGTTCACACATAACAGATTCAGAAGGAAACCTAGATTTGTCTGACATCAAGGGTATGGTCCTGCTACTTACCTTCTGGCTTGATTATTGCCATCTAAAAACTTCTCTTAGAAAAGCTATCATGACCCTTATTTATTTTCTAGTCTACTAAGTCATCATAGTTTTTATTAGATAGAGCTATTTAGATGGGATAATGCTTTCCCAAAGAAAATAATGAAATAGGGGAAGTTTTGAAGTGGGATGTGGGCTGGGGATTTAGCTCAGTGGCATTGCAAGGTCCTGAGTTTGATCCCCAGTACCAAAAAAAAAAAAAAGGATATGTTTTCACATAAAAAATGTAATATGAATAATAGATGATTAGTGGACACTCAACTGTGCTAGGCATATTTTAAGCATCCTTGAATGAAATAATCTTCACAAACCTATGAGTATGGTACTGTTATATGTGTAGCTAGAGGCTTAGGCAGTGTAGATTTACCAAGGTCACTGATTAGAAAATAATATATAAACATTTTATATCCCCATGAGTATCTTCAAAGTAGTAATGATGAGAGGCTGTACATTTAATTAAGTGAATCTGTCATTTTTGGAACTCTTGTTTTTGGAATGTGGCTCTTTGTATGGTACCCTTTGACAATTTGGTGAAGACTATAGACTATATATAAGTTGCTTTTTCATTGTATAGAATACACAGGATATAAAGGAAGCTGATTAAAATGAAATAGCTATCAAAATGCTGAAGAAAAGACTTGCAACATAGTAATATGTGCTTTATTAAGATCCAAGATGGGGTCTAATAATTATAATTAATTTCAAAGTAATAATGAACATAGGTATATTTTGAGGTATCCGCAACAACTAGAATGTGATACAAAAATATTTGCACTTATATCTATAAATACCTATATCTTAGTACCTAGTTATTACTAAAATGATTGTACTGTTGTCTTCATAGTACAAGGAAATATTTTAAAGAAAGATGTAACTTTTTTTTCTAATCCAAGTTCATGCACTTCTCCCCCCACTAGTACTGTACATTGACCTCCAAAGATAACAAATCCCATAATACCTCATTTCTGACCTCAAGTGTATGTTTTAATTTTGTTTAGCTCTAGATTAATTTAGGTTGCTTCAGAAATTAAACTTATTCTTATGCTTATTTTGTATCATGGAGAATAGTCAATATAGAAGAGATTCTGATAGCAGTTACAAAAGGTTCCGAAACATACATTAGTCATCAGGATATGT